GGAGATGTTTAGAAATGTGTCAAAACCACAACAACTATTGCACGAGAGATGCAAGATGCATTGGACGACTTTTGAGAGATGAGAGATTTGGAAGTTTGAGAGATGAGAGAGTTCTATGTCTTTTGTGCTACATTTACATTGCTATTTTGATTTGCTAATATTGTAGACTATACCTTTTAAGCTACATTTGCATTACCATTTGTCAATATAATTTCCTAATATCCTAGACTATAATGTATGTATTCGCCACGCTGATGTGTGTATGGCGTCGCCACGCCGCGCGCCATAGACGCTGTAAAGGTGTGAAGGTGGTGGGTCGCCGCGCCTCGCCACGTTGCCGTAAAAACTATGATCAGTTGACAGGCACAGGTTTCCAGCTTTAATGGCGCCATCGACACGCTCCAGACAACTGAACAATGTAAGATACACGCTAAATCTATTTCCATCCTACTCGCAATGCTGCATTTTTAGACTATAATCATGACCTTGCATTGCTTCACGCATCAGAGTTCATTGCTTTGCCAACACAGATACGACCGAGGAGGGGAGACGGGGTAGTCAGGGGCCAGGGCAGATTACCTCGCACTGGGAGACGAGGCTGGCCTCGGCGACCTCCCAGGTGGCTCGCCAGCTGGCGGCGTCGCGGAAGGCGAGGACGACGGGGCCGTCGCCGGAGGCCGGGGAGGGGACGGGCGCGCGGAGGAGAGGGAGCGGAGGGTCGAAGCGCACCACGGTGGCCGCCGCGGAATAATCTTCCGCCGAGTCGTCCGCGCTGCCCGCTAAGGCCATCTCTGGAATCGCCGCCAGGCGCCGGCGGACGGCGGTGGCGGCGGGAGGCGTTGTGAATGCTGGGCTAGGGTTTGGCAAGTGAATTCTTGGAAAGTCCCTTGGATTGGGCCTGGGAAGTGGTAAGGGTTAGCTCATTCTCTTTTGTTGGGCTCTACCGGGCCCTGCAGACTGGTTTCTCCATCTCCAATGAATTTGTTGCTCAAAAAAAAAATCTCCAATGTATTTCCCTAAAAAAAATATTTCTTTTTATTTTAAAGACTAGTAAAAATACCCGTATATTACTACGGGACATATAGTTTATATTTATAGTCTAGTCACTTGGACGGCATTAAGTTTAGAAGTTTGCTCAACAATCACATTGTGCATTCCCATTCATCTTGGAATCAAACTCTATAACATGTCTAGACACGCTCTACTCAAATTCATATAGGTAAAGGACGTTTGAAGTTTTATCCGATGATTGGGTCATGCATTTCAATTTGTCTTGCAATCAAACTCCCAACCGTGTCTTAACACAGTACTCTAACTCATAAAAGTATGGGAGAGAGAAAATAATAACAAAAACACTAATATTTACTCAAAATATTTTATAACCCTAATTTCCATTCTATCTAAGTGTTGGTATAGTTAAATATCAAGTTTTTTTGACTTACTACGAGGACTCATAAAAAACTGTAGTTCATCTTATTAAGCCCAAAAATATTTACTTGTAAATATATCGTAACCTCATTTTCAATACTATCCATGCGCCAGTCGTCGTCGTCATCGTCATCATCTCATCACACTATAAAAGAGCGAATTTTTTTGAGGGTGACTCTCCCTCTATAATAACCGTTCGATTTATACGTCGTGTTATATGAGCCTTCCGTCATGCGTGATCTTACTCTTTCTCTATAACAACTGTTTAATCTACACATCGCGTAATATGAGTCCTCCATCATCCGTGATCTTACATGAGATATAAGACTCATATTCAATCTCAAATATATCTCACGATATGCAAGACTTTTTGAACTGGGACTCCTATTCCAAATATACTGATTTTTTTTCTTTCCATATTTTTTTGAGAAACTTTTTCTTTCCGTGCATATACGGTCCGCTCGGCTTCCCGTGCAAATTAAAGGCGCCTCGGACAGAATCCTTCTCCGATCGAACGTTGCCCCTCCACGTCCTTACGTTTCTCCTTTACCTTCTTTTGGTTTCCGTCTAAACTTATTATTATGCGTATTTGAACCATTAAGCCTTTCATGATAAATAAACATTTTAATCACTAATTGTTGATATAAATTTAATTAGTAATAAAACTTATTATTATTGAAACCTGGATCAGCCGATGGTCTAACCATGCACTGAAATCTTAAACAGTTTGTCATCGAATCTAATCAAAATAAATGTATCAGTGCAATCATTGATAAATAATAATGAGGGCTGCCATGTGAAAATTGAGAGAGGTCTACTCCATCCGTCCCATAAAAAGAGTCGCTACGAGACTCGTGTTGGTCAAACTTTTTTAGGTTTAACTAGATGTGTTGAAAATATTAGCAATATTTGTATGTCCAAATAAATTTATTTAAGAAAATAAATTTAAAGATCTATCCAATCATACTAATTAGGTACCATAAATATTAATATTTTGTTATATATATTTGGTCAAAGTTAAAAATAGTTGACTTCTCGGAAAAACGAGAATAACTCTTTTTTTAGGATGGAGGGAGTATGTCGTAATCATCAACGGACAGACTAATCTTCGACAACTAACTCTTCATTGACTTTTATTTTTATATGGGTCCTCAAAGAAGTCCGAGAACTCAATATCTAACTCACCAAACACATGGTTAGTATGAAAATAAAAGTTACGATATATTCGCAAGTAAATGTTTTTTTGATGATATATTTATAATTATATACTCCTAGATCCACCACTAATGATGGAACATACCACGTACGACGATGAACTCAGGGCCTATGACACGGCTACAACCAACTGGCCGCTCGTGTCTGTGCGTGCATATGCGATGTGTACTCTCGATCGATCGCTAAATCATCAAATTAATTACGCACCACTTGGTGAAGGTTAGGTATTTCCTTTTCTATTCTTATCCAATCTTCGTTATATTGCTAATTGGTTAGAGTTCTTTGCTCATATATATAGATACATATTTTTTATCCTAATTAAGCTTCTGGACACTATTAATTTCATTGTCGTCTTTACTGATATATGCATTAAGAAATAAGGAATGGATATTCATGGAGTCTGAATCTCATTGAAGCTAATGATTTAGTCTTTCTAGCGTAATATTAATTGTGTAATGATGTTTTTGATAAACACGTGCGTGTCGCACGTGCATATTTGCTAGTATAGTTAAATACCGAGTTTTATGACTTTTACTTTGAGGACCCATAAAATTTTTGATTCATCTTATCTTATTAAAACTAATAAGAGTTTAGTTACTAACATGTCAAGGTAGATGCTCCACCGCCAGGCATGTCTCCACCATGCCAATGTTGTCCACTCAGTTGATTTTGATCTCTCTTCATGGAGTGTTCCACCGTGACTCCGGCCGAGGTCGGTGAGGGAGACGTGTACGAACAGCGTAGGCGTCAAATCCACGGGCAAGACGTGTGAATCCATAGTAGGCGGAGCATTGGAATTTTCATCCATCCATTGAGCATGTTCCTCCACCACATTGACATTCTCGCTGTGCATAAGCCAATGGCAAGATCGCATGGCTTAGTTCATCTAGGGCCTAACTGGTTCAAGTACATGTATGGGCCAGGATGTGCATTAGAGCCGGGCTGAATGCAGACAGGTTTGCATACATGTATGGGCCACAGAGGCGGATCTATGTACAACATACTGAGTGTGGGTGCACCCACGAAAATATCAAAAAACAGTGATTATCGTTAGATTTTTCACCATGTTCGCACACATACGGTAAAATCCTATGCACCCACAAGACAAACACACCCCCTCGTATTTGCTCTAGCTCCGTTCCTGATGGGCCAGGTACTTCATCTAGAACGACTTGCCATTCTTCAATCTCATTTTTGTTTTTTGTTTTGTTTTGAGACGTTTATTGAGGTAGAGATTTATACAGCTGTCATACTTTTCTTTTTATTTGTCAGGTTTCTTTCTTCCCATTTTGTTTACTTCCCTCTTTTTTATGGGTTAGCTTCAATGAGCTACAATTGGACTCTATATTGACCCCTTTTGGATCGGATAAAAAAAACGGAAAAAGGAAAACTTAAAAATCAGATAAAACGAAGAAACTCCTCACGGTATATGTATTAAAATAGGATAATAAATGGACTTTAACTTAAAGGCAATCGAAAACCTTGTGCGCCCATATATATATATTTATATATGCATGTTGTGGACGTACGGCTCATGAAAAAGAAAATAAAAGAGCATGTGCAACAGGAAATTCAAAAAGGACACGGACGGATGGATGGTCTGGTCAATCGAAACCGGAAAAAGAGCATAGCCAAGGAGATTTTTATTCTTATATTTTGCTACTAGGTAGCGTACTCGTGTGTTGCTACGGAATAGCTAATAATTTATACTAAAAATATACGGATCACACGATAAGATAATACTACTGTAAAAATTAAATATCAATGTTAAAATTACAGATAATCCCAAAAGCAAAGTTTATAAAATTAACAGTCACGGAGAGCACGACGTCACAAGCTTACAAACTCTTTTCCGTGATGCGCCTAAGATAATGTTTTATATCGGCAAGAAGAAATCTCCGACATCCATTTCTTTCGTGCGCCAATAAATCCACGAATAAGTTCCGCTGCATCTCCATACCATCCTATATACAGGCTCAAGTATATATGTCAATATTAGTGCCTGTCGCATGGGTAATACTGCATCTCTTGAAAAATCTTCCACAAAAACTTAAAACAAAGTGTTATACTCACCGTATAAATATGTGTGGCTTTTGGTCTATTGCACGTAGACCTATACTGTGGAATAAGATATCCACTTAAGTGTCTGTGGCAAGATTCACGATCAGCGATATATAGAACTCGGAGTACTCGTGCCTAATCCTACAGCCGTCGCTACAAAAGACAGCGCAGCCGTAGGTCCATCCTTCCGCCACGCCGCTGCTGCTGCCCTTGAAACCTACCTCCGGTGGCGGCACCGGCACTGGGTCCATCGTTCCGTCCACCCTCCATAACACCTCCCGAACCGCGTCGATAGCTTACTCGCAGCACCTCACGCACTCCCGGTTGGTCCTGCTAGCCTCCGGCTTGCACCCGTGGGCGACGTCCTCGCCCTCCACCTTCCTGATGTACTGCTCGGCCTCGTTGTCCCCGTAGAGGAGGACACCGAGCATGTAGGCAGCCACCTTGTGGTCAGCGGCGGCCACCTGTCTGAGGCAGGCAGTGCCGACGGGGTCCGTGCGGCCCTGCGTGAAGACGAGCCTGAGACCGAGCACGAAGCAGGCCTCCGGGTTGCCGGCGGCAGCCAGTTTATCGACGAGGGCGAGGTAGTGGTTGGGGTCTTACCACTTCATGGATCCCTCCCGCTCTAGCGCTACGGGGCTCCTCACGACGCACTCCATGCACGCCGTGCGCATGGTCTGGCAACTGCAAAGACACACGCACGGTATAGGTAGACAAATTAAATGTGTAAGTAATGCGACTCATGCGTGGGTGGACTGCGGACACGTACGTGCCACTGAGGCTATAGAGGTCCTCCATCGGGTGTGGCGAGCTCGCGGCGACAAGCCCGACGATCTCGATAACTAATTCGTACGGGAGTGCCAGTAGCGTCCGCCGCGCCACCCGCGAGGAACCGCTCCGGACGGAATTCGTCAGGGTCTGTCCATACCTTGCCGTTCCTCCCGATCTTGTGTATGTCCGTTATGACGCTCGCTGGCATGCTGCCAGTGGATGCCGGTGTTCGAGTGATCACCGCGTCCATGACACTGACATCACGTTAGTGAGATACTATTTGTGCAATATTTAATTGAATAAAAAATGCATTGTATGTGTTAGTAATGTTCTGTTACCTTGCCTATGACGTTAGAACCTCCTTAAATACAATATTCTTTGTGAAAGTTCCATCCATTATTGGGGTCTTCTTATCCTTATCTTTTTTATATGACGTATTCTTATTTTTTCCCTCGGCATTTTTTAGCATTTTTCTTCTCCACCTTTTTTGCCTCCTCCTGTGCATCCGCATCAGGTGGGAGGGCAAGGATCTTAATATTCGTTCTTGACGTGGCTCTAGACATCGCAACGTACAACTGATCGTGAGAGAACACCGGTGCGGGCAGGTACACACCCACTTTTGAGATAGTTTGGCCCTGTGACTTGTTGACCATCATGGCAAAGCTCAGCCTGATAGGAAACTGCTTCCTCTTAAACTGGAACGGGAACAACTCGTCATCGGATGGGCATAGCGGTATTCGAGGAAGGAATACCCGCTTCCCAGCATGCTGCCCCACCACGATTTCCGTATCGATTGTATTTCTTCGGAACCCCCGCACCACCAGCCTTGTACCGTTGCATAGCCCATTGGCAGGGTCAATATTCCTACGCAATATGACAGGATACCTGAGCTTGAGCTTCAAGACATGTGGAGGCAACCCGTTGGGGGTCAGACTGTTAAGGAACTCCGATGGATAGTAGTTATGTGGATCATCTACCGCGAGTGAAAACTGTGATACACCGTCTCGCCGCCCTAGAACATATAAATCATTTTCATATTGATCATGTCAACCCAATCGTTACGTGTAGATAAAATCGCTCTTGTGGTGATGTAGTCTTTGTCCGCCATGTTTGCATTTAGATCTAGAAAGATGATGCCGATCAATCTATGAAGATCTTTCTCGGCATCGCCAGAGTATGGGATATAGATCTCATCTGGAATACGTACATTGCCATCTTCGTTAACCTCTTCCATTCGACCACCAATGCGCAATAGATAATCTGCAAACCACGGGTCACTCTGAGCCCTCATGTTGCGGACGAGCTTTAGGTGGCACATGGATTCCCAAAGATACGACCTTCATAGAGAAGCACCGACTATTTGAGCCCTGGATCCTTTCCGCACAATAGGGAGGACCTGTCTGAAATCCCCACCAAGGACAACAGTCTTCCCACCAAATGGTAAGTCTGACCGACCCATTATATCCCGTAGGCTATTGCCTAGTGCTTCCACATTTTGCCTCTTTGTCATAGATGCCTTGTCCCAAATTATGAGAGTTGCTTGCTGCAACAACTTGGCAGTACCACTCTGTTTCGTGAAGCTACAGCAACCACCCTCTTCAACAGTGAGGGGTATCTTGAAACACAAGTGGGCTATCCTCCCGCCTGGCATTATGGATGCTGCGACTCCAGATGTAGCTGTACCCACGACAAGCTTGTCCTAGCTACGTAGTTTAACGAGAAGTGCCCTATACAAAAAGGTCTTTCCTGTCCCGCTAGGTCCATCCACAAAGAACAACCCACCTTGTTTGCTGTAGACAACGACCATTATCTCATCGTAGGTAGACCTTTGCTCGGCGTTGAGTGAGTTGCACAATAGCACATCTTCGGGATTCTGCTCGATGCTAGCTTCCTCAAATATCTCACGAGGAATATGGCTAGCATCATCGTATGAGTGATCAATATCTGGAAGAGGAAATGACCTTATGTCCTTCCCCATAGACTGCAGCATATTTCTAATGTCTATCAAAACCATCTGTTGCACCAGATCTGGGGATGGATTCTTGCGGCTGTAGTCCTCTGACATTGCATCATAGTGTTTTTTCCACAACCACATCACATCATTCTGCTCGCAGAATACCAATATTGTTGCAAATAGCCTTCGTAGAGAGGAAGGCATCTAGAAGAAAGTAGCTTCACTTAGACATTCATCTAGTGTATTGTCTTCTTCGATTAGACCCCTCCGTTCTGTAGCTTCATGGAACGAAGGCAGTAGCATGCCATCAACCATCCTAAGGTGTTTGTATGAGGTAGCACCAGCAACATTGTTTAAGAGAACACGAAGAAAGTAGCGTTCTCCCTCAGCAGGATGGGCCGAGATGACTCTGCCAACTTGGAAAATGGAGTTTTTCCTTTTCTGCCAGAATTTACCATCAGACTGCCAGGTAAAATGCTTCGGGAAGTCCTGATACAAGATTCGGCGGGCTTCCTCATGCATCCTGTTTGCCTCGAAGTATGCTGTCAGCATTGACTCTTCTACACCGGGCCTATTAACAATATGTTCGACCTTGTCCCATTTATGAAATGCCACCACATGCACGTCGGGTAGATGAAGCTGCAGCTGCTGTACTAGTGGATGGTTCTTGCTCAAGTCAAAGCCATATATCCTCCACAGTGCTTCTGGAGGCGTCACCCACCGGGCCTCTCGATATTGCTTGATCTCATCAACGTTGCCTTTCTCGTCTGCTTTGTCAGTCTCCCTCATCACCACCGACGCCCTATCATGTCCCTTGTATATGTACTTGAACAAATACTTTACTGATTTGATGCTCCCACAGGCCTCAACATTTATATGGCAGTTGAAGGTACGTAGTAGGCAAGGGTTGTAAGGAACGCCCCATTGATTGTCCAGGTAATGTCCTCGAACTTTTTGCGTACGACCGTCATTGCGCCGCTGATAGATGGGGTACGAATCCTTTCCCTGTAACGTGGCCTCACAGAATGGACGCGGGTAACAGTTTTTGCATGACCCGTGGCCCACCGTGCATGGACAGTATGAATTAAGCGTCCCACAAGGACCATGCATCATATGCTTTGTGACCATCTTGTATAGCTCAGGGTACTTTTTCTTGTTTGGTAGCTCTGCAGTGATGATCATGTCATATTGCTCGGGGCATGTGAGTTTGTACTTCCGTTCCATTATTAGCAAGAAGTGTGCATGCGGCAAGCCCCTCTTCTGGAACTCCACTACATATACGTAGGCCTTCACCTTCCCAAGTATGTCTTTCTCCATCAACATTTTTCTCATCGCCTCTAACTTTGCTCTGAAGACACGTGTGATGAGATCTGGGCGGTCCTGTGGTGTCTGGCATGGATAAAGTTCATTCTTGATCTCATCCTAGTTAGGGTTGCACGTCATTGTGAGGAAGATATCAGGTTTACCGTACTTTTGCACCAGAGCCATTGCATCCATGTACCGGCGCCTCATATCACGAGGTCCTCCGATGAATGATGAAGACAGGACAGTACGCCTTCCGACATTCTCAACAGATCCTTCACCCGAATGCATGCTATCCACTAGGCCTTGGTATAGGTTAGCCCTCAAAGTATCTTGATTGTTCCTCATGTAGTCTAAATGCAAGCTCTCAATCTTGATGTAGGTGTTGATGGCGAATTGCTGGAAAAGACGCTGGCCATAGAGTATTGGATTAAATATCCCTGGCCGCATCTAGAACTTGTAGCAGTAGTAGTCGCGCACGGAGACACATTTATTCGCAACAGGTTCTACAGGGAGACAATGTTCAAATTAGTATCATGAGTTAACAAAAAAGAGTTTATATTGCATTATCGAAAAGAGTTCAAGTTACCTCCATCATCATCGTCACCATTCTCAGCACGCTTTTTGTGGATTGCTCAAGCTCGATCAACTTGAGCCATAGTCACACCCACTTTTGGAATGAAGTTGTGCCACCCGAGCTCACCCATTGGAAAGAACACCGGGTATGACAGTGGGTCGTAGCATGCATTATATGAGCGGATGCTGTGTATAGACCAATCCTTCCCTTGCAGGAGAACACTATGCTCAAATTGGCCATGACGCTCACTCCCCTCAACCCAGACGATGGCCACCTCTGATGTCAATGGCACGTTATATGTTCTCTGGTCAAGCCGCTGGTCAAGGTTCAACTCGACCCGGTAATCCTTGAGGTTTCCAACGTGTCCCATACTCCTTAGTTGCTGAGAGTAGGGATTCCCATTAAAGATACTAACCAATTGCTCTATAACTTCTCTGTCTTTTTGGGCACATTACTCACGACACTTGCTCATCCGATGCTCGAGGGACGGATCATCGTCTTAAAAATAAAGCTTGAGGTGTCTCTTTTTGACACCCTCCTCTTTACCAAATGATCGTATGTTATGGTAAATCTGGCCATGGGCACGAAACATGTAGACACCGCAGATTCGCATGTTAGTGGTCACACGATCTAGGTGGCAGTACAGCGAAGTGAAAGAGAAGTGGCCGTTGAAATATCTGATGTTTGCACGAAAGTGCCTAGCATCAGCGTCCGAGCTTGACCACAACCTCATGAGCTCTGGTGGTGTCTCAGGAGTTGAAAGATGAATCTTTCCACCCCGACAGCAGAATCCGGGCGGTTCACCCTCGAATTTCTTTGCGTTGCAGTGCTCGCAGTTCGGCACCGATGGTAGCATGTGCGACTCTGATGGGACATTAGCGTAAACCATATCGTATGGATCTGGGACATTAGGCTCACTGTTCTCTTGCTCATCCGTGTCGAGATCTAGCTCGATGTCGGTTCCCTCCTCGTCGTCGTCTGACAAAATGTTGATGTGTTACGCGTTGAAAGAAAGTTTGTGAAAAAATTGGTTTGACTATTACGTGGTGTACCTTGTTCGGCGAAAAAGTATGTCTCATCCTCTTCCTCGTCCTCCTCAAATATCACATCCTCACCATAGTCTATGCAACACGGCCACATATATGATGAGAGAAACATAATGGCATACAAAAAGAACAAAAAAATGGATAAATT